AAAAAGATAAGCCCAACTCAGCCCGCACGACGAGCGTGGAACGAGGCTTCAGAGTCCACGAAACTGACGTGCAAAATCCTTTTCTTGGCAGCGAATGCTCCACTTTCGCACTTCGGCTTCACGTCTTGCTGCGACCTTACTTTACAACAGCGCTAGGGCTGTTTCACGTTCCACCTTCTCCGCCTCTTGCGATCCCCACCCTTACCATATCCTCCCATGGTTGGGAGGTGCGCTGGGGTCTTTAACAGCTGTGCACTCTCTTTATCTCTCGCCACACCACCGTCTGTTTCTCTTTTCCTAGCACAGCACCTTTAGCGTAGGTTCTTATAATGCTAAAAACTGGTGTCAGCATTACCCAAGGATATGCATCTAAGCCATCCTAGGACTCACAGCTTGATCGAGTAGCGTACCATTACTGCAATAGATGAACAAAGAATGGTAAGTAATCGAAATGATGGCACACTCACTGCAGGTCAAATGTGATAACGCTGATCGTTCAACTGATCGCGAGAAACGAGCTGCAGAAATCCTGATGAAAGGAAAAAGGAGCAGTCGATTGTTAGGGGTAAGTGATGAGCAGGTCGGCCAGGATACAAAGCGGCAAATCCAGCGTTTCTGGCGGGAACCCGTTGAGCCACACTCCGTTCGCAGGTGTTGCGCCCGTCGTTCTTCCACCAATAACGCAGGGGCCGCCCTTCCTGGTCAATACAGCCCGACCACAAGGCTGCGTTCACACTTCATGATTCGAGCGATTCCGTCGTGCTCGCTAGTCGTTGGACCGATGCAAGCGCTGAACAAAAACCCACAGATTGGAACATCGTTCGACCCCGTAAATCAATTCTCGCGCGAGGGATTTAAAAATCGCGCTAGTCGCTCGAGGAGTGAAGTATGAACGCAACTTCGCATAGACGCGACTCTAGTTCACAACTGAAACCTCTGAACATCTCCATACACTTTCGTAGCAGATCCCCATCCCTTTAGGGGATTACAGGTTTTTTTTTCAGAAATTCGGTTCCAAGAGAAAATCCGAAATTCGTGGATAATAAACAATAAACGGATATTAATAACTAATGAATACAATTATATGTTGATGTTGACCTCTAACGGCGCCGTCAACTAGAGACCTAAGAAGAAATTGATATTGATAGACTGACGTTATTGTATTGCATTAGATTATTCGAAAAATAAATATTAAAAAATACAGCTTATCAAAGTATTCAGAATAAGTATAATGACAAGAGCTGAACGTAAGCAGGGAGAGGGAGCAAAAAAAAAGGTTCCTCAGTCCGAGGAGTCACTGCTATCACAGTCCGCACGCGCATGGTTTACTTTAGTACGTTTATGGTCTTCACTTTCTGAGGTATAAGGCACACTCGTGTGTAGAACGTCCTTCGCACCTCATCATGACCCACACCACTCCCATGGTCTGTCCGACATGTATGGCGCGCGTTAAGCCTGTGGAAGGAGAGGGAGCCCGTACAAAGGCCTGAGTCACGGCAGCAACGGAGGGAGGAAGAGGGAGCCCCAGTCCAGCGACGGTGTGAGGCAAGTGATCATCTAAGCAGAGAAAATTCCAGCTCTGCATTAAAAGAAAATGTACTACTTTCGTCATTCGAAAGAGCCAAATAAAGCAGTCAAGAACGCGTGATCTTTTACTACTTTACCGTTTTCAGGCTACAAGACAACGACTTACACTATTAGTTAGCGCGCGTGTTCCCTGCAACGTCGTAGGACAATCTCCATATGCTTGTCTCAGACGACGGTAGCGTTTCGGTTTTTGTAAGGTCACTCACTAGTCGTTCTGCTTTCCCCGTATACTTTTTTTGGAAACAAGAAGGGAGCAGTAACAGTTCAATCCGCTAAGCAAGATGCGTTTTAGCGGTGCTTGAATTTCGCAAGCGTTACAATTATATTGATGCAAATGCTAGTTGGGCTTTGCTTACCGTAATCTTTCTCTCGCACACAGCGCAAGGCACATCATTAGTTAAGGATTTTCTTCACGTCCGTACGACCCCTCCTTTTTAGTGGGTTAATGCGAGCCCTCCCCCTTTTTTTCTGGTAGGCTGGTACGACCCCCTGGTTCCCCTCCTCATCGAACTGGAGGAGGGCATATAACACATGTGAAACGGAAACATCTACCCCAAAAATTTTGCTATCGAGCGATGAGGGGAAGGGGCGAGGAAGCTATCGAAAAAATTTCTACTCAAATAACGACTAAGTACGACCATTCCGCCCGGCGATCAATACACCCTTCCCGTTGGGGAATCCCCAAAACGATTCCGCTGAACAGCCTCCCGTTGGGGAAATCCCCATAACGATTGTCCTGAGACACGCGTCTATTTCAGTCAACTTCCTCTCATAATTTCAGCATTAATGCTTTTAGAGGTTGAGGCCGCAAGTGTGGTTTGATCGCAAAAGCATGACTTCGTAGCAATTAGAGCTGCGTGACTGCCAGGGAGGAGTCTAGCAAGGGTATTCTCGGAATTCCTGCTTTAACTTTTTCCCACAAGTGATTCCTATCTTCCTCAACGAAATCTGAAACGGCAATTGACCATCCCCGTGGAGGGTTGAACGCTTGGTTGGCCGGGCGGGAGTCGACCCGGGATTTGAACTCGGTAACCGCGCGAGTGGTAAGCGCGCCACTTCTAACTACACACCGCCTCCACTGTACAGTATACGAGAAAAACCGCAAATGTCGGCAGCCAGATAAATTATATTTCCCACGGCACGCCGGCAAATTTCGTATCAGCAAGCAAATTCGATCACCATCTCTCCCCAGCAAACGACCAAATACGTCCCCTATTCTTTATTGCGTCCGCGAAACATGAAAAACCAACCATCGGAAAAAGATCGTCATACCCTGTTGGGGATTTTCAACGATGGCATGCCCCTGGGGGGCGATTGGCCTTCCACAATACATGTGAATAATAATCAAGGCGCCCAAGTGGCTAAGTGAAACCTCCCTATAGGCAAGAGTTTGTAGATTTTTTTTAGTGTCCTTATGCTAAACGATACATTAGCGATACAGTTTCTCGACACATAAATCCCCTAACAACTCTGAGAAACACACCAAAATTCCCGTAATTCTTACGACCAATTCGTTCGTATTTCTTGTGCAATTGCAATTTCATGATCATTTTATGGCGATCACAAATATAAACGTTTCGACACCTCTCACGGCATCAACATGAAGCTGTTCCTTCTCTTTCTGGTGCTGTGCGTTGCCGTCGCTTCTGGCATATCATGGATCGAGTTCAGTGGCAAGAAACTCGAATCAAGGCATCCACAAAAGTACGTGGACGACACATGCATCTCTCTGATCCCGCCAATGGAACCATCATCTCAGAACGCCTTATGGCAGTTCGTGAAAGATGGAAGATTATCTCAGAGGACTGACTGCCTGCTGACGTACGGAAAAGAAAGGTCACGGAGATTCTTAGAAGACTGCCTGATGACGAACGGAAAAGAAAGTTCACGGAGATTCTTAGAAGACTGCCTGCTGACGAACGGAAAAGAAAGGACACGGAGATTCTCAGAAGAGCTCCTGCTGACAAACCAATCAAAGCTATCAAGATTCACAGAGAAGTGCATATTGAAAGAGACCCTCATAAGCACCGAATTTTGCCACTTCCTCACTAAACAGCAGGTATTTAAAAAAGTTTAAAATATGTAATGTAATATATTTCATTGTTTTCAAATCAGTATTTGGGCGGAAGTGGTCTTGCTGCAAATGGCCAGCCAACCGCATCTTACTGCCGCATCGGAGGTTTGGGGGTTCCGCCCGAATCTCGCTTGGACCAGGAGAACTTCCCTACCCTCCGCGACCCCTCGCACACGATAAATTAGTACCAGATTCGTCTGCTAGATAAATTGTGACTGGTAGCACAGGCAGCTGGCCCCTAAGCAAGTGCACCTGCCAAGGTCAGGTCCCGCATCCCAGTAAGCCACTCATGAATGAAAATAAATTCATCAAAGAATGAATTCAGAATTCAAAAAAGGATAGGCTCCTGCTGTTCAACCCCTTTTTATCCTTTACCCACGCGTTCAAATGTGACTGTAGGGTAAGAAATGGATCTTTTTTTCATCTCTTTTCATTGCAAATCAGTCGAGGGCCTACGAACCCTTCAAGTCAGTCCCTTCAGTGGCGTCCAGTTTTCTGCCCTTGTCTTCTTTTTCTTGCGCACATGATTTTCTATGGCCACGTTGCTTCCCACATCCTAACTTTCCTCGTACGATTACTTCCTCGCCCACGATGATGTTGCTCTTATAAAATTAACTGCTCAGGATACTGATGCCCGAATGCCGCTTCTATCATACTCGTGTCATACTCGCTTCTATTATGTTTCCGGAAAGTTCTGCACTTTTTTTGTTACTATTTTTTGAACATTCATTGCTGATTCAAAACTCACTCTCGCTTGCGTCCCAGTAAGTACATCCTGAAGAGAATTCTTTGCGCTATCTGATGGTATAACTGCCGTTTCACCATTGCTTGATGAACCTTTTTTTAAGATTTTTTCAAGCATGTGAAAAGAGCACTTCGGACGATTTTTTTCTTCGACTATAAATTGGGGCAATCCGCAATCGAAACAGCTCAACAAATTAACCAGGTGTGGGGGCCCAATAGTGCTAGAGAAAGCACTGTGCGGCAATGGTTCAACAAATTTCGTTCTGGAGATTTCAGCCTTGAAGATGAACCTCATAGCGGTCGACCTAAAGCAATATCTGACGAGGATTTTAGGGGATTTTGGAGGCTGACCCATCCCAAACAGTTCGAGAGATTGCAGAAGAGCTAGGCGTTGGCAAATCCAGTGTTGCAGATGGTCTGAAACGCATTGGGAAGGTGAAAAAACTCGACAAGTGGGTGCCCCACAATTTGAGTGACCGGCAGAAATTGGCACGTCTCGCGGTTTCCTCTTCACTGCTTTTGCGCAACAGAAACGACCCGTTTTTGAACCGAATTGTCACCTGTGATGAAAAATGGATCATGTATGATAACAGGAGACGTTCCGGACAGTGGTTGGATTCCGACGAACCACCGAGGTAATTTTCAAAGCCGAACCCATCACGAAAAAAAGATTCTGGTCACAGTTTGGTGGTCATCGGCTGGTGTGATGCGCACTATAACTTTTTTATCAATCAGGCCAACACCCATAACAGCAAGAACACCCTACTGTGAAGAAATTAGCGAAAAGTACCGGAAATTGTGTCAGCTGCAGCCAGCACTTGTCAAGCAAGAAAGGGTCCGATTCTTTTGCATGACAACGCCCGCCCACACGTTTCACAAATCACTATCCATAAATTGAACGAATTGGGGGTTGAAGTTCTACCTCAACCGCCATATTCTTCAGACCTTTCGCCAATCGACTATCACCTTTTCAAACATTTTCAGAACTCCCTTGCTGGAAAATACTTCATCAATCAGGACCAGCAAAAAAGCCTCGTGAACAAGTTTCGTGAACTCCCGACCACCCAGTTTCTTTCTTTGATGGGATTTCTCGACTGCTATCACATTGGCAAAAGTGTGCTGATTCGAATGGTGCTTATTTGGATTAAAATCCGATGAGTGTTAAGAAAGTTATGATCGTTTAAAATGAAACACTCGAAAACGTGCAGAACTTTCCCGGACAACC